CGTGGTGTGTTATTCCCACTTTTTATTTTTTTTATCAATAACAAAACTTTCATTAGTCAAACAGACTAATTAATTACAAAGAAGGGGAGATAAACTTTCTTAACTTCCCCCAGCAGAGGCTAGAGCCCCCAAAGTGATAAAAAAACCAGAATTACAACTGAGCCCAGAATATAGATTCCCTAATCGCCCCTTACTTGTCTAACCCATCAGCAAATGAATTAGCATATCTCTTCACCCAGCTATACTTTATTTCCATATCCTTAGCCAACCTATTGTGGATGCTTTTGTTGGAAAGGAATACAGCCGCAGACAGCAGTAGTAATGGACGTTAGATTCAGTGTTCCTATCTTATCTTATCTCTTAGCTAGATTCAGTGTTCCTATCTTATCTCTTAGCTAGATTCAGTGTTCCTATCTTATCTCTTAGTTAGATTCAGTGTTCCTATCTTATCTCTTGGCTAGATTCAGTGTTCCTATCTTATCTCTTAGCTAAATTCAGCGTTCCTATTAATTAGGCAGTAGCATTATTATTTCCTATGTCTTTTAGAAAGTTTCTTAATGTTCTTTTTAGAAAGTTTCCTAATGTTTTTTAGAAAGTCTCTTTTTAGAAAGTTTCTTAATGTTTTTTATAAAGTTTCCTTAAGAAGGACTCTTGTAATTCCTATTTAAAGGAGCAGATGTTACTCAATAAAACTATCGATAATTTCAGTCAAGAAAGAGCAAAGGAGAGTTGGTGATCTCTTTATCAAATCACCATAAAGGCGCTAAAGATAGGTTCCTCGAGGAAAGGGAGGAACAAGGGAAAACAAGAAGTTTTCCCCGTTAACCGACCTGCGACGAGATCCTATTCGCGGGCCCTTAATAATTTGGTATCAGAGCAGGGCGTCATGGGTGACTTTGAGCAATTGAAAACTAGGGTTCATGATCTAGAGCACAAACTCGTGGAAAACAGCAAGGAGGTGCGCGAGATCAAGGACGACGTCCGAGAATTAAGGCGCTTGATGGAGTTATATTTCTCCAGCAAGGAAAAGAGTTCAGAAGGGGCTGCAACCACAGACGGCCGCTGACCAGACATGGCAGAATCGTTCGGCAAGCAGCAGGTCATTGCCTAGGGAACCGCGATTGTCCCCAAATACAGCAGGCTGGAATTTCCTTCCTATAATGGAACTGGAGATCCTTTGGGATAGCTGTACAGATGTGAGCAGTTCTTCCGCAACCAACGGACAGAGGACAGGGACAAGGTAGGCTTAGCCGCATTCCACATGATAGAGGAGGCGCAACTCTGGTTTTATAAATTGGAGCAGGAGGAACCTGGGCTCAGTTGGACCCAATTCAAATCCTATTGCCTTCTCAGATTTGGGCCCCCATTAGCAACCAATCCATTAGGTGAATTAATCAACCTCAAACAGACTGGAACTGTGGCCGAGTATCAGCGCTAGTTTCAGACCCTCCTTGCAAGAGCATCTTCGGTACGACCAGACCAACAGGTTGACATGTTCACCACGGGGTTAGCGGAAACTTTGAGGGTGGATGTGGAGATGCAAAATCCCCCCAATTTGGTTAGTGCTATGAATTTGGCTCACGCTTTTGAACGCAAATTGCAACTCAACCACGAAAGTATTAGTATAGGGCGGCCTCAAACAACATGGGCAGCCCCAAAACCACTCGGAATGGCTCCATCTTCAGCAGCCAGCCAAGAACAGAAACCACAGACGAGCAACAATTCCAGATC